AAAAGAGATAGAAGGGAAAGATACTAAAACTAAAAATATCAAGTTTTCCTTTGGGGTGAGATAAACGAGCCTGGGCTCTATTGTGGCATACTTTTTTCTTTCTCTTCATTTGAATCCTTCATAAGGAAACCGTGCGTTTCAATTTCTTCCTTCCATTTCATCAGTGTTACACACAAAAGGAAATGCTTGCGTTTGCTCCACTAGGATGATGTTTCTGCAATAACCCTTCTCTGTTTATGCTACTAGCAGAAAATAGAATAAAAGAAAGGACATTTTCTCTTAGTTTTTAAATTTTTGTCATGGTTGAGTAATGTCTTGATGTTTTGTATATTAAAAGTTTCACGTCCTTTTGGATGATTCTATATAAATGAATTTTATTTGGACCTGTTTGAATAGTCTCTAATTAGTAATCAGTAGAATTTCATTCTTTTAAAAGTTTTATTTTATTTCCTTCAGATATATTTTTTGTAGTCACTCTGAAATTTTTATTCTCAAGTTTAGTTTTATTGGCAGCTTTCATTAATATAATATATAATATAGCATAATTTATATAAATATAATGTAATATAAATGATACTGAATAAAATAAATTAATTCTTTTAAAGTATTTACCTACTTTTACTTGATTTGCCATTTATGGTGGTTTTTAATGAGATCCATTTCAATACATTCATTTGACAAATATTTAAGATATATTAATTTTTCGACTTTGAACAAAATTTACTATACAACACTCAGCACTTTTACTTATTTTAGTAGTTCTTTGATGTATAGTTAATGTGCCATACAATTCAATGTTTGGATAGATTAAATAGTCGTGCAGTCTACTTGACAATTTGGATCACAACCATAAACCTTCATTCCTCTAGGTTTGCATGATTCCTTGTTTCTAACTGACACTCGTTAAAAGTGGCATTCACCCCTCTATATTTATAAAATTTATATTTTCAACTGTTTAGATTTCTTTGAAGATTTATATCAACAAGTCAATATTTATGCAGTCTTAGTCTCTGCCATATTACTATTTTCTAAACAATTCATAGCAATTTGAATGCAATTTATCAAATTCCTCATATATATCTTATCCAACCTTTTGTGCTTTTCTTCAAATCTTTGTGCTGAATACTGAATTCACTATATTAAAATAGTTTATCTTTTGCTAGTTTAAGACAAAAAGCCCAGAACGAGCATGATTCCCTGATGTGATACTCTTTAGGTAATATTTCCATTATGACGGTGATAGCAGCACTGACTGTGTGCCCCGTTTAGTTCAGTTGTAGAATGGCCTAATAGTTGACCTCACAGTTTGTTGTGTGGTTAACTCAAATTTTTGAAGATGCTATCACAAGTGATTTACAGTACGATTTTTATTTGGCATACACATGAAAATCTTTCTTAGTGATTAATATTGAAGATAATGAAGCCCCCATTAATAATAGGGCTTGATAGATGAGTTTTTCTAGCTTGTTGTTTATTTGTACAGTTTGGTGCATAGTCTAATGTGAGGCATTTTAATATATATATATATACATATTTTTGGAGGTACTTAAAGCAGTGTTGGTTCTTGTACCATTCATTGTTTCGTTTGTCCTCATTAGTTGATTGTTGTGTGTGAAGCAGACATCCCTGGAGCGTATTCTCCACACTCTGTGAATCCACTCATTAATCACCAGTCACCTTTGGAGATGAGAAAATTACTTACCTGTATTTCTTTTTCTCAGAAAGCGTGCTCTGGAATGGATTCACAAATGAGCTACCCTCCTTTCCTCAAAGAGTAAGGTTTCTGCTTTACAGGATTTTTTTCTTGGGTTATTTTTCCTCTCATCTTTTGAGTTTGAAAAGAACTGAGGGAAGGCACCTGAAGAAACTACTGACATACTCACTAGGGGAGTTCCAAAGCTTGTGCTGTCCCTAGGGGCAGTGACAATGGCTCTTAAAGCTAGAAAGCTCATACTTGGAGTTGAAACAGGGGCTCAAAAGAATCCATTTTCCCAGTGTACCTTCTGAAAGGATAAGTTTCAGGTAAGTAATTTTCTCTTACTATGTGATATGCTTTATTCATACTTATAAATATACACCAGTCCAGTGCCCCAGGTACTAAAGCAGCTGTGTGTGTGCACAGTTTAGATTTATAAGTGTTATTGACTGTTAGAAATATTAAAATAAATGATCTCCGTTTATAAGATACATGACAATTTAATTTTTAGTTGATGATATTTACTGAAATTGTATGTATGATTAGTTCATTAATCTAGTTCTTTCATTTTTCTTCTTAGTAAATGCAATCTTAGATAAAGTTTTACTTTTTAATAAGAAATAAGTCTTTGAGCTCAAGTTCTAGTGTTTAATCTAAGTTGTGTGCATGTGTACCTGTTTAGGATGATGACAACTACTTACTTCAAAATAGTTGTTTTCTGAATGTATATTGGACAGAAGTCAATTGTTCAATTAATTTGAAGAAATTTGCACAATTACAAAAATTATCACCAGATAATTTGAGAGCCGTTATAAGTAAATGTGTGTGTGTAAGTAAATGTGTGTGTGTAAGTAAATGTGTGTGTGTGTGTGTGTGTGTGTTGGATTTAGCATCTTAACCAGATACATTGTTCAGCTCTTTATATCACTTATGCTGTTACATGTGAAATGTTAAATGAAGGGGGTAGCAAAAGATGCATAGCAAAATACTGAGCCCAAGTTCAAATTGCTTTTCATTGTATTTTTTGTCATTCTTATTAAATCACAGTCAGATATAGTATTTTAAAGTAAGTGTTTCACACATTTCATAGCCTCAAAAGTTCAAATGCTTGAATGTATGACTTTTCTTTAGAAGCTGTTTTTACGTAAGTTAGGTTTAAAATGGTCCATATGAACAGTATAGCATTTTAAATTATAGTGACTCTTTTCACTTACAATTATTGCAGTCTTGAGAATTTCAACCATTTGAAACATTAGCTTTTTATACTTGGAGATAATACCATTACAGGGCATATGAACTTTTCTCTGCACCCGGGAGGAGCAATATTCAGATCGTTCAATGATATCCTAATCACAGGGCTTATTGAACGTGGCTAAGGCTGTCAGCTGTTTCCAGATGCAAGGAAAATAAGTGTATTCGTAGAAATCCCAAACAGCACTGATTAAAGGAATATGTACCTTGATTTCCTCCAAGGATATTAATGTTGGTACAGTAACAATGAGTCAGAATTTCTTGTCTAAAATAATTCATTTAATTGTTCATTTATTTCACAAAAGACTTTTGGCAGCTGTTAGCTAAAGAACTTTGAAAATAGAAGTAGAAATTCAGTATCAATAACTTGAGTCAGTAGGTTGCTGTGATAGAATTTTAGATTGACTTTGAGCCTTGTGGAAGCCATGGCAAAGAAGAATTGCATTGTTCTCTTTACTTGAAAGGAATAAATATATATATGCAATATATTCTTTCAGGAAAAACAGTGCTACACCCAACTGATTTAAAGGAATTTAATGACTCATTTATTGTATGGGCAGCGATTGGCTTCCCATTACTGACTTTAACAATGTTTTCTTTAGTTCAAGTATTGTAGTGCATCTCAGCTATGAGGACATGCAGTAATTTACAGTGTTTACCTAAAAAGGGTTAAGTTTTATTCAGAAGACAGAGATAGCCTCATAACCCTGTAGCTTCATTCTGGTACACCATAAATGGGGAGAGGCGACAGTGGTTTAGGAATGGTTCTTGAAGTAAGAAAGAGGGCGTCTAAAAAAATTCACAGGAAATAGAATTAAAAGATAATAGAATATTCCACAAACTTTAAAAAAGTTTGCTCATATATATTAATTGTGTGTAAAAAGCTGAAATGTGAAAGTCAAAAAACTATGGTATATTTTAGAAAAATGACCTTCAAAGGTGATCAACAAATAAGTGAATTGTTAAGTTCTGATACATAGTTTTTTCTCAGAAGCACCCAATTAAAATTAGGACTTTATAATTTTAGATTGCCCATTATTTATAAGAAAATATATTAAAATGAGATTAACAGAAAACTTTGTGAGAACAATAATTTGGATCCATGAACTTGAAGCATATTGTGTGTGCATGTTTGATATATTCTAATATCTTTAGAAGTGAGATTAGAAAACATAAAAGTAATACTTCTGCGGAGAGGGGAGGGGGAAGATATTACTGTAAGATAGATTTAGATGCATCTGAAACCCATCTTAGTTCAATAGCAGCCCATAACTAGTTATAGAGATGTTTTAACTTTTGGTTTCCTATGACTATAATAAGGAACAGGACTTATCTTCTGAGCCTTTTGATTTGTCTTCTTTTAAACTTCCTTCATCTTACCCTTTCTGTTCTTTATTGAACAACTAAACATTGAATGTCCTGTGTTTTTGTAACATATTAAGATTTTATGTCAGGGTAGGACAATTACATTTATTCTTTTGTCCCTCCAGCTCCTAACATAAGGTAGTTGTACTGATCATTTTCAAATAGAAGGTTTTGTAAAAAAGACTTATATCAAGGTCCTAAAAATCACACAATCTACTTTTTTTTTTCCTTTCAGTGATATAGATCAAATCTTTCCATCAGTGCAGCAAAAGTTAAGCTTTCAATGATTTGTTACACTGAGATAAATTCCTTAAGACAAATTTTCTTGAATCATACATATTCTTTGGGTTTTTTACTTTACATTATAGACCTATATAGTATGTTTAACAATGCTTCTGTCTTTATAAATTGTTTGTTTCCTTAACCTCATATATTGCTGATGACTTTAAGGTTCTAAAACTTGAAACAATTTTTAACATAAAACATCAACCACTGTGGTGATACATCATTTCTTTATTACCTTCCCAAACATGCCTTTTATTTTATATACAAGGGCTCCTGGGAATGATTCTCTCAGAGGCATAAGTATTTTGCCTTTTATGAGAACTGAAAGTATTTGGTAAGCACTTGCTTTCTTTTAGCTTCTAATTTTTCCCTATTTTATTTTGTACATGATATTTGTTTCAAGGTCAAAGGTTCCGTTACAGTTACTATGATGAATCCCAGGGGGAGATTTATAGATCCATTGAACATCTAGATAAAATGGTAAGTCTTTCAGGTGTGGGGTTTTAATGCTGTAAGACTTTATCTCTTAATTTCAGATTAGTGATTCAAGATGTAATGTGATGAATTATATACACAGTGGACTGATAATTTTATCCCCAACTCTTAACTAAGTGTGCATAATAGAATTTGTAACTATATGATTATATTGGTTATAATAAGAATTCCTGTTTTCTAGTAGAAATTTTCTTCATCTTAATTATTTTTTATTAAGGAGACTATTTAAACATAATGAGTTATGAATTTAAAGCAATTTGGGGGGGATTTTAGTTTTAGGGGTACATGAGAATAGGATACTTAAAATAAGTATTTTAGCTGTTCTGCAACTTCTTGCAACATGTTAATTAACTTAGTGTATCTTTGTAGCAAAGTAAACTACAGACTACTCTGAGTAATGCTGGAGAGTTCCTGAATTAGACCTTAGTGAAAATCCAAGTTCTGAAAAGAGAAAAAAACTAAGTTCTGTGGGGGAAAAGAATGTATAAAGTTGCAGTCTACATAACCTAAAAACTTTAAACTTCTGATTTCAATTTTTTCAAAATAGGGCATTAGAGCCCTATTTTGATAAGTTGGAGGAATTCTAGGATGCCTGTAATTTAGCTAATTGAAATCTTGTGTACTGTGTTAGTGAAATTTTTAGAAATGTCTTCATGCAAATAATGCATAATGCACACACTGTCTCCATGTGTGCGTTAGCCAGGTCTGCTATTGCGTAATGGTGCTTACAAACCGTCGTGATAGAAGGGCACAGTTGGCAAACAAATGTAGGAGTGCATTCTATGTATGAAAAATACAGTAATTTCAGTTTATTTTCATATTTTAAGACTTATTCATTTTAGAGTTACTTTTGATTTTATTCAACTTTTCCAGAACCTACTAAAAAGAGTATATTTAATGAAATTAATAAATTTAAACATAAATTTGTAATACTGGCAATCACAAATTTACAATCTTATATAAATTGAATCATTATATATCTACTTGTGCTTTTGTTTTGATTTTCATTTCTGATTGCTCATAAACTTATTAAGACTGCAGCTTTGAATTTCACTGGTTTCCAGCTTTCAAAATCTTAAGAAAACCAAAGTACTTTTATAAATGTCTCTCTCTGTACTATCTCCCCTTGTTCTTTCTAACAGTTCATACCATATTAATTTTTAGCTGTTTGGATTGAAAAAAATTTTTCCTTTAGATGTTGGAATTTTAAAATGTGAGTGTATTATTATAAAGTTTGGTGCAGTAGAAAGGTGAAGCCCTTTCTAGGTGGCATTGGGCTGCTAATCACAAGTGTACCAGTTCAAATCCACCAGCCACCCCACAAGAGAAAGAAAGGGCTTTCTACGTCTGTGCAAATGGCCCCGTCTCAGAAATCCACAGGCATTTCAACTCTGTCCTGGAGGGTTGCTGGGTATTGGAGTCAGCTAGATGGTAGTGAGTTTGGCTTGGATTCAGTACCATAATATGGTACTCGGTACCTGTTTGAATTATGTTTAGAAACCACACAAACCATTGTAGTTTCTGCTCATAAACTGAATACTAACTACACTAGCTTGCTTCGTCGTCTTAGACAAATCATTCAATTCTCTAGTCCTCAGCTCATCATCTTGTAAGATGAGAGGATCCTACCACTAGAGCTCTTAAGTTGTTTTTCAAACCTATCAACCTTTAAGTCTGTGATCTGTTGAAATCAACTTTATCAACATATATGAAGTGTTACTATGACAAGTAAAAAAGTATTGCTGCAAAATGATCAAGCTCCCCTTCAAGCAAAAATATCAAAATGTGAAGCTATTGCTTCTAAGTATATCCTTCTTCTAGGTCTATACCCGGCTGAAGGTTGTATGCCCATCCCTCTAAACCTCCAAACAATTTGGTGTGCTACAAATTAAACCATGTCAACGCGGCAGTGTTGGCATCTTGAAGAGAAGCAAGTCACATTTTAAAAATCTGAGTTGGGGGACAAGAGGAAATCTGAAAGGGAAGGGTCTGATGCTGTAGGGCGGGCGGGGTAAAATTTCCCAGCAGGATTCTGGAAGCACAGCCCTGTTTGCTCCAGGCATAGCAGCTGCATTGTCAGCTGTAGAAGTCTTACCTCAGAGCAACTTTTCTGCCCTTATTCACAAGAACGACAACTTTATAATAAGCCTTTGTGACCGCCTGTATCTTTTGAGAAACTCTTTCAAGAGTATCTCTTTGGGACCTCAAAAACTGCCCCTAGCACCATCTGAGTCTACTTCTGTTTCTTGAATTGAACTAGGTCCAACATAGCCCATCGGAAGCCACTGTTTGATTTTTTTTTTTTTATGGTTTCCTAAAAAGACGAAGACAAGTTTATTACCATGAGAACTTGTCTGCAGCCGCCCACTGATCCCAGAGATATCTTTAAGTGACTGAAACCCTTCCCGACTTAGCATTTGTTTGTAGAAAAGATTATTTAGAATAAAGTAAAACATTTTAGTAAGGAATCTGGATATGAATGGAAAAGTAGAATATATCATATTGTATATCCTACTTAAAACCAATAGGAATGAATAGAAAATTGGTATTTTCTCACATTTGAGTTGATCATGTTCATTAAATATAATTATCCCTTAATAATTTTTATTTGTAGAGTTTTAATTGGATTTTAATTTACTGACTTGTTTGCCTTAATGTTGTTATTTCTATGTATAATTTAATTCTTTTGATTCCTGATTGTACATTTCCTTTTCTGAGATTTAGTTCTTCATTGGCTCAGAAAATATTAGATTCTCCCATCATTTATTTTCTTCTTATAGCAAATGTGTTCAGTATGGGTCTTTACTGTGTAAAATATTGAAAACATCAAAAGGGAAAAATCTGAAAAATAGCCATGTTCCCTGAATTAATGGAACTTATGGTTTTAGTTATCAAACTGAGTAGTAAATACAGAGTAGTAAGACATATTTAGGAGATAGAATTAACAAGTTATAAGTAATTGATTTGAGCTTTTCCAAAATATGTGTTTATCTCATTAGTTACCCTATGGGACAAACGGTAGAACTGCCCTTTTAGATTTTCTAAGGCTTATAGAATCAGAAAGCCTTATATCTCTCTCATGGATGGTCTAGTGCAGGGGTCCTCAAGCTTTTTACTTTTATTCATTTATTTATTTATTTTTCCCCTCAAGCTTTTTAAACAGGGGGCCAGTTCACTGTCCTTCAGACCGTTGGAGTGCCGGACTATAGTTTAAAAACAAACAAACAAAAAACTATGAACAAATTCCTATGCACACTGCACTTTTTTTTTTTTAAGGGTGGAGGCAGACCCAGTCATGGACATCGTAGCCTGCTGGGTCTCCTTGCTTTATTAGTTTCCAGCCGATCAGTTCAGAAAGTTGGAGAGGGTGAGGCGGAAGAGGGTGAGGCCGCCACCAGGAGCTTTGGACGTACTCTCCTGGGGCAGGCTTGACAGGTACAGACTGTGGGACAAGACCTCCCAGGCCCCACTGGGGACTGGTAGGAAGACCATGGATCAGTGGCTGCTCT